ATCCTCCTTTATTTAGACTTACAACAGGGTTTATATAGTTATGTGCCACAGACACAAGCTTCATAACAACCCACAATTGGTTAACTGCAGTCGTTCACGCACTCGGACATGCGCTTCATAACAACTTATAATTGGCTAACCACAGTCGTTCACACGCTCGGAGCGCGCTTCATAACAACTTGTTCACGCGCCCCCAACTCCTTCCTCATTGGAGGCTGACGGCCACACCGACCCCCGCCTCCTCCCCATCCTGGTTGTTGTTCCGCATCTGCTGTTTATCCGCTGGCGATGTTCCTTCAGTGAGAGGCAGTCAAGGTCGTCAACAGTCTTTATCAGCGCATTCCTTTACTACTCAAAAGCATGGGTTGCTCAGCATCTTTATTAGCGCATTCCTTTACTGCTCAAAAACATGGGCTGCTCAGAGGCACTTCTTTACTGCTCAAAAACATGGGTTGCTCAGAGGCACTAGATCGTGCCCCTGCTGTATTAGCCACCCTTCCACATTCTGCAAACTGACAAGGTGGAAGAAATCTGAAAAGTGAGAGAAAGATCAATTCGGCAATCCTGCTTGAATTAAGACTTTGTTTAATGTCAGAAGGCATTTCTTGTAAGGCTTCTTATTTCTGTTGCTCCAGAATCAAGTGATACAACCTAAGTGTTTGCAGAAGGTACAGGTAGTCAGGTTTCTGTCCTTCACTATCGGGAACAGTGAGTAAGCTTGTTTTTTCACAAGTAGTTGATTATCACTTAAAGAAGCCCTGAATGCTTTGTCTCTTATCCACAGCATTTTAACACTTAAATTTTCTGTAAGTGTACATTTTACCCTTACACTTTGAAGTAAGTTTGAAAAAAAAAAAGTCACCTGGCATAAACCACTTTTGCTTATTTATTCTATGTGATGATGTAGTAACATTTAGTTTCTGTGCAGGGTTTCATGATTCAGACTGGTGACCCAACTGGTACAGGAATGGGAGGTGAAAGTATTTGGGGAGGAGAATTTGAAGATGAGTTTCATTCAACTTTACGACATGACAGACCATACACACTCAGCATGGCTAATGCAGGACCAAATACCAATGGATCCCAGTTTTTTGTAACAGTAGTGCCAACCGTAAGTAATATTAAAAGCTCAATTTGAGGCCCGAGATGCTAACTACACAGTAAAAATATATGTTTTTCTGATGGAAAAAGGAACACACTAGTACGATCTAAATAATCTTTTCTTGTTATTTTGCAAATAAATGCTACACACAATGATGTCTACTGTGTAAGCTTCACTGAAACCGTCCTGTAAGAAATAGAAAAGTATTTTTGTCAGTTGTGATCAAAAGGCCTTTTGCCTTTAATTGGAGTAAGGGCGGTATAAAATTCTTTGTAAATCAGACATGTTTGCAATTGTGTATTACTAGAGTATTTTATATTTATATACTGGTTTAAACTTGATGGAAATATAGCTGTTGCTTAGATTGTTCAAAATTTTTTTGAAATGGTACCAGGATGATTCCTTAATGTTGCCAAATTACAGCTATACAAAGAAGCCAATATTCAGGTTTGAAGATTTCCTTTGATCTGTGCACAATTTCGGAGCCAAAAAAAGAAATTTTGGTATGTGAATCTCACAGATACAAACCAAATCCTTAAAGGTAACACTTACAGAAACTGCATTCTTATAGCAGTGACTTCAAAATCATGTGTCTTTTTTTAAAGGCACCCATCTACCGTAATTTTGAGGCTTATTAAGTTACATTAGTGCCTACATTCAGATTGCTAATTGGGCATACTGTATGAATATGACTTTGAATTAAGTAGTATTCTGGACTGGCACTTACAATTCAGCTGTGAAAATACCATGAAATAGACTGAAACAGCATTTCTGTGAACTGAGAATACACTTTAAAATAAACTATTAAATGCTACTGCATTGCTAGAACTTGACCTCTGTAGTACTTTAAGAACACAATTGAAAAGGTGAGTTTAAATGCATATGAATATGTATTTGCTGCACTCTAATATTTACTTACATGCTAATATTTGCATGGTATTAAGTTTCATAGTCTGAACATATAAAATGTATCCATGTTCACTTATTCTAAGTCAGTCTCTTTGAGCAACCTACATGCTACTTTCTATTTTAATACGCTTTTTCTTTCTCCTCCTGTGCCCTCAAACAGCCATGGCTAGACAACAAGCACAGCGTGTTTGGACGGGTGACGAAAGGAATGGAAGTTGTTCAGAGAATCTCAAATGTAAAAGTCAATCCCAAAACTGACAAACCCTATGAGGATATCAGCATCATTAATATCACAGTGAAGTAAGCTAGGAGTTGGAGGTTCCAGCTTAAGCAGAAAAAACTCGGCATGGTGGGACCCAAAAGAGGACCTAGAAAGAACATAGAATCATTAAGGTTGGAAAAGACCTCTAAGATCATCGAGTCCAACCATCAACCCAACACCACCATGCCCACTAAACCATGTCCCTAAGCGCCGCATCTACTCGTCTTTTAAATACTTCCAGGGATGGTGACTCAACCACTTCCCTGGGCAGCCTGTTCCAATGTTTAACCACTACAGGAACACTTTTGATAATTCCTGGATAGAAGAAGTGCCAGGAAGAGCAATCACCAGTTGTACTATTTTTAATGTACCTAAAGTGCCCTAAGTCTGTATTTCTGGTAACTTTGTATTTTAAAGTAAAAACATCCACATGTTTCGTAACAAAGTCTGCTGTTTTTCTTGCATCTCTTCTATGCAAAACTGAAGATGAAAACACACACCATGTCTCATGACACTGTTTATAAAATAGGATCAGGGTATGGTTTGTAACTTTTTCATGTTCATTTGCATCTTTCATATTTAATTAATCCTTTTCACACTATTGAAATCTTTGACAGAGGAAAAAGTTGGAAATTCTAAGCTGAGTAAACTCTTCAGTCATGTGTACATGCATCAAAAATTAGATTAAGTTACAATACTGTTTGTTATGACAAGGTATGTAGTCTACCTCTGTCATTTAAAAATGGTTGCGTACATGTGTTCTGTGTCCAAGAGCAATGATCAACTCGTGGAATGCTAGTGTATAAAGTCCTGTGCAACTTGTTTGGCAGTGCCAATAATGTTTTTTTTCTTTCGATGTTTGCTTTCTCATTATTTTAGCCTAGGGATTCTGTTTCTAGCTTCATTTTTACCCAAAGTCCTACAAACATTACTACTTCTACTGAAAAATGTAGTTAAAAATAAATGATGGCAACCATCTCAACTAAGCTTGCGTCAGGTGTTTCTGACACAGTCCTCAATGAAAGCTCGGACAACTTCTCAAGCTGCTGTGAATCTGGCTAGATAGGGTGCTGTTACTATGTTGGATAGTTAAGTCTACTCTAACTACAGTAACATTAACTTTGACTGTTCATGTTCAGATAACACCACTGCACTTATACAAGACTCAGGAGTTGACAGTTCTGGTAGCTTCATTCATGCAATGAGATGTGATGCATGCTAATCAAATTCAGTCCCTCAAAAGCTGTTACTGTTAGGAAGCTTATATTCAGTGAGACGAAGGGATATCTTCAGGGATCAATGAGAAAAACTCTACAGCAAGTTAAATGTAGCACACCTCTATTCTGAGATGACTGTAACAAAAAAAAGGCAAATTTATTAAAATTCATTCTCAAAGTTTTAGATGCTTTTATTGAAAAGAATTAATTTTCTGGGTGACTCAAATTGCAGCAGCTCATGAATTGTTTCCACTAAAAGAGCCCTTTCTTTCAAGAAATCTTTACATAACATCCACACCTACTCCAACAGTTCAGAGTAAGAACTATCTCAGAATAAAACCCTCATGTACCACATAGTCCACAATAAATTTGAAGGTAGCATACTGTAAGACCATACCAAGTGATAAAACATTGTTTTTCAGTTAGCCTAGACATACTATTTTTGAGCTGAGATTCTTTAAAGAAAGCCACAACACAAGTCACTGGATGTTGTATTTACTCAATTTCACAATTAAGTCAAAATCCTATGGAAAGTTATTCAGTCTTTTCAAATAATCCTCATAGTTAGTAATGCTTGAGTGAGTTCTAGTTAAGGAAATATTCCAATTACATATTGCCTAAGTCAGTACACTAAAAACTAAAGTTCAGTAAAACTGGTGAAACAAGCTTAAATTTATAACTGAAGCAGTTCATAGGTAGTATTAATTTATAATACGAATAAACCTCTTAGTGTACCTGTTTACACTGAAGAGTTCACAGACGAATGCAACTTTCACAGTTACTTCAAGTAATCTTAAATAAATTCCATTTAAAAACACTTTTATGGTAGCATTCCATGTGTCACAAGCAATCCTTTGTACTAAAAAATACGCTTGAATGAGAATTTTTCCTCTGCCCTCAAATGTAATGTTACAAAAAATCCAAGCTGGTCACCTCGAACATTTTAACGTAGAAGTAGAACTATACTGAGAGGGATGTATAACTGAAGCATAAGCCAGTTAAAACAAAATTACAGAATCGGGATTTTTCTAAAGAATGCATGTCTTCTCTGTTAAAAATATTCCAGGAAAAGGTATCTACCATGCTTAGCAGAACTTGTTCATATTTTAAAAAGAGCTATGAAGGGACAGTCGGCCCTAACTAGGTCTGGCACTGCTCTGCTGTGCACGCTAAGCAGATGCTCAAGTCAGAGCAGCCAACTGTCTACTGTGCAAGAAGTTACAGGCTGGGAAGGATGAACAATTTTTAGTTCAATAGGTGCAAGAAAACACCTTTCATTCCGTTGTAAACCATTTCCAAATGTATCGGGTTTTCTGAAGAAAGAGTAGATACCCCTTCTCAGTACCTATGTACATACGTAGGCATTAAAGCCCATTTCACAAACGTTTAACTACTTCAAAGCTTAGTGTTCTTTCAGCTGCTATGCAAGTCATTAGACTTGCTGAATCTGAAGCTCTGTTTAATACCATTTACATGAAATTTAAGTAAAAGAGAAAACAACAAGTAAGTATCATTATGAGGAAGTAGTTACCTTACCAGCTTCCTCTTGAAGAGAAGTGCAAATGTACTAAATTATTTGTTTATACATTCTTGGCTTTACTTAAGGTATGTAGTGGGAAAACATTGTAAAATTGATAATATTACAATAAAAGCCATAGCCACAGATAATGGGATACATTTTCTTTGCCAGGTGAGGTTTAGAGCTCTCACAGGTAAACATGCTTTTCAGTGTGGCAAAAATATCTACCCATCTGTGAAACAACACTGCTCACTTCCACTGTCTGGTTCTCCCGATGCACCTCTACTCCAGTAAGAAAAGTGATGATATGCAGTTTTGACCTATTGGCCATGCTCTTCGTAGCTCCTCTGACGACATGAAGAGGTCCATGACATGGCTTCTACAATTGGCAATGGCTGTGTACTTAAAGAGGAGGGCAGAAGATTCTGGTGTGCATACCAGACAGATAAAATTGTTAGCAGAGTTGCATGCGCAGCAGAAAAAGAGACATCACAAAGTCGTTGCAACCTTCTCTAAATTTAAACAGCACTACACCCATATTTCATCGGTTTGTGAATGAGCAACCTTTGAAAATAGAGGCATTGGTGACAGTTCCATGTAGAAGATACAGTAAGAATTGAAAATCTAATTATGGAAAGTTTATATCACGTTTTACCATCTGCTCTTCTAAGTAAGAGTTATATAATTAGCGTACACTGCTTTTACATTGTTATTTAATATTTTAAGGCCACTACCTTAATCTGGTAGCATGACTTCTACATAAGAGTACATAGCTGGATTGACATGACACCACACTACTTCTTTAAGAAGTTTTGTGGTTTTTTTTAAACTTCATTTGACCTCTTGAGGAGTAAGATTAATCTCTAAAGGCAGATTATGTCCTCAAGCATGCACAAAACACTTTCACCTCACTATCACTATAGTCTGTCCATAAATAATTTAGCAGGTGTACAATTAACAAAAAACACCCAACTAACACCTCCCCCAGCTAGAAAACGACTAGCTAAACAACGCCACAGCCCCCTAGCCCTGCAACACCATTCCCCATTCTCAGTTTTCTTTGCCCAGTTATGCTGCCTTCTGGTAACAAACGGGGAAGCTAATAAATAATGGGGGAAACATTTTCTTTTTGTGGTGTATTTGCATGTAATTTTCAATGCCACCTTTAGATGAATGCATTCTTTAGATATTAAAGAGTAGCACCATTTATTTCCGACTAATAGACAGCTGGCTAGTCTAATAACTTGAGATAGATTTTGGAATCGTTTCCTGGGAAAGTATTTCTAAACTACTCAAAATTTTTCTGATATCAGTTAACTACTGTAACCTTGTTACAATTATTAGATGAACTCCAATGCCTATTTTATCAGGGAAGAATTTTAAATTGTAACAACCTCATTTCACCAAAAATAATTTCAAGGCACCCTTGTAACAAGTCCATTCCATTACTTGTAAATATATCAAATTTCAAAAACACTGTAACGGCACAAGTTTACTGAACCAATTATCCAATCTAGGACAAAAGCTTGTATTTTTCTGTAACCACTAAGTTAAATAAAGTCCCCTCTTCAGACAGCAGACCTGGCTACAACATCCTAAACTGTGCAAACAAAACAAAACAGTAAACTACACCCTTAAATTGCAGCTGCTGTAAAATTAAGCCACATCCAGGACACCAGCAGCCACTAACTGCCTCGAAAGCCAGTCCAGTCCTTCATAAAGTCCTGTACCACTTCGGGCATCACATCCCTGAATATACCAGCTACGGCCACAGCAGAGTTTGTGGAGACTCAGCAGTTCTGTGATTTCTTCCACTGAAAGCGCACCTGCTACATCCTGCAACAGAATCAGATACAAAGACTCAATTATTCTTCTGCATTATGTTGGAAGCATTTTATTTTTAACTGATGGCTTAGACTGAAGCTATGGATCACATAAAAGCTTTTCAAACACAAAAGCCAAATAAAAGTTACGCATTTACTACTTGTTGCCATAAACCGAAACCTGAACCACACCAGAACCTTAATCTACTAAGCACTCTAGCATCGCTTATTTTACCAGCATTAAACATACAGAAAACACCTACATTTTATGCTTTCCACACCACCATTCCCTATCCACAGCAGAGGGTTCAGAAAGTTGGAATGTGATACACAAACTGAGAAAAAGAGTAACAGAGTGAAAAAAAAATCACAAGTACCTGTTTATTAGCAAAGATCAAGAGCAAGGCATCCCTCAATTCCTTCTCTGTTAATAATTTTGCAAGTTCACTGTGTGCTTCACTGACCCGGTCTCTGTGACTGCTATCAACAACAAACACCACCGCTATGAAAGAAAGAGAGAAATGTTTTACACATATTCAAATATAAACTCTGTAAAATTAGCTTTCAATTTACACAATTCTTTTTTTCTAGCAGTCTTCTATGTGAAGTTTCTCAGCAGTGTGCAACTTCAATTTTAAATCCAGGAGGACTGAGAAATGCCTCTATACTTTTGACAAAAAATCTAGAATTCATCCTAAAACAGGGAAAAAAAGACTGATGTTTTTTGCCTAGTCTAACATAAAGGCTGTGATATTTTAACTACTTAGGTCTAAAACCAGACTTACTGTGTGTGGATTGAGTATCTCAGTTTAAACCATTTCTTGATCCACTTATACTCGGTCAACTCCCACACGACTGTTCCAGTTTCCCTTAACTGGCTGCAAAATCTACAGGTTCAGCCAAATCAGCACAGCTTCCTTCAGCTACAGACTACACAATCCCGAGAAGATTGCCATGGACCCGACACAGCAGCAGTAGATTTTACTATCCACTACAGAGTAACCAAGATGCCAGAAAGACTGGAGAGTCAGGGAGGCAGAGCTAGAGGACAGAATTTAAATGCATGGTTTTTGCAATGAAAAAGCCCCCAACACCAAAACTAAACAAACTTACTGCAGGTATGCACCAGGTTAACTGCTTAGACTTTCTCTCCAACATACAATTCTTCAAGGCAGACATGATTCCATGCTACTGGTGTTTACACGGTAAGTTTTAAGAGGACAACATAAATCCCGAAATAAAATTTTTAAAAGTTTGAAAAGATGAACAATTTAAAGTGTTAAAAGTTTGCAATGAAGGCTGAAATAATGCACAAAGTGGAGTACATAAACTAATGTTTGTCATTCCTAACTATTTCAGATAATTCTGAATGAATTACCTGAATTAATGAAGAGGAACCCCTTTCTAAATTGGAAAACAACTATGGAGGATTTACAGAAGGACAGCATTAATTTCTAAGTTGGTGCCATTTAGATCAATTTTTTCAGAATCAGTGATCTGGTCTATGACCAGATATTACACTGCAATACCAAGTCAGAAGTTACAGAACTTAGCAGAATTTTTTAAGTTGCCAACTAAAGGCTCCTAAAGGCTGAGTATTTTCATTTCAAGTGCTACTTAAATTTCATACCTGGCAAGTACTACTTCTCACTATGCAAACTTTGGAACGCTGCACCTTGTCTGTTGTCAGCTAGAACCAGTTTAACAGAGATTCTAATTTTGTTTGGCTCCATGAACTGTCTGATGGATTTACGGAGAATGCACCTTTATCATGCAGCAGACACTATGACCAACTGGCTTAACATTTCTTAGTTCATGAATCTAGCAGCTGTACTTTGCATTAGATGTACAATTTTCTACAGTTATAAATTATTTCTATTAATAATCTTTTTGGCTCTGAAATACAAGCTAGATGAAAAAATACAGTTTAAAAGTTGTATTAGTCTCACCTTGTGTATTGAGATAATAATGTTTCCACAAGGGCCTCAATTTGTGCTTTCCTCCTACATCCCAAATAGTAAACTTCAAATTCTTGTATTCTACTGTTTCAACATTAAAACCTAGAATAAAAATATTGAAGTTTTATAGTCTTGTTCTGTATGAATATAAAATAATCAAATTCTACAGATAAGTCAAACACTCAGAAAAATAATTACATTTAAATTGTTGCTACTAACCTATTGTTGGAATTGGCTGCATGAATTCATCTTGCTTTAACTTAAACAAAATAGTTGTTTTGCCAGCTCCATCTAATCCTAGAGTGACAACCCGAATTTCCATTTTTGGTCCAATATGTACCCTGTTGTCCTGGAAGAAACAGCATACACAAAACAAGAGCAAGTTTAGGAAATTCAAATTAGAAAACCCCTATATTTAAGATACTTATCTTGTCACTATTTGTAAAGTGATTAAATGGATGGACTCCAAAAATACAAGGCACAATCATCAATCACCTCCAGCAATAATATAAACCAAAATATCCAATAGTTTCTGTAGTGAACCTGTAACTTCTGCCTGCGTTATCACACACCTTTTAGAAAGACAGCCAATCTCATGCTAGTATGTCTGTACTTGATAAAAGTTCAAATTCTTTCACCATTCTTGGCTAAAACCACATGAGGAGTTGTTCGTAGCAATTAGTTAGAATTCTCTGACCAGAGAACTCTCTGTTGGTTTTGTAGCTTTTCCACTTAAGGCTCCCACCTACAGAACTATTTCCTTGCTGGAGGCTCCATAGCTACGCCTGTTCACCTCAGGCCACTTCCAATTCTTTACCACACTACAACAGTAACTTTATTAGCATTAAGCAGTTATCTGAAATAGTGAAGAAAAACAAACAACGCCCCCCCCCCAGGTCTTGCTTGGAGGCAAGAAAGAGAATCAACTTCCTATTTTGTAGTTTAGACCAAGCTACCATGAATAATGAACAAGTTGACGCTAACAATGCAATCAACTGGTATTACTAATATAAAGCAGCAAACTGTACATTGTAAAATAAACAACATAGGCTAAGATTACTATGTATCCCTGAAACATATTTTGAAGTACTTAGAAATGCCACCTCAATGAAATAGCGGAGTTTCAATCATCAGAACTATGTGGCAATACACTTGTTTTCTGGCAAAATCCAGACAGCACTGTGCTGGGCAAGCAATACACAAAAACATGTGTCTACCCCACACAGCTTTTAATTTCTTTGTGCATTAGAAGTGCTATTTATTGAGTGCAAAAATGCTACAACCTCTCCTTGTACAACAGCAACATGTACCAGTGTGACCGGATGTATAAACATCTACATCATGTGACTTGAGAGAGAGACACACACACACGCACACAGAGGATCTGTTATATAGCTGGATATATGTCATCCTGACGTGCAACTCCGTTCTTCCCTCTGTCACAGATGAAGTAGCCTAATGCCAGAATAATCAATACAAATTAATTCAATGACCTTATGCTATTGCAATCTCTAAAGACAGTAAAAACACCTTGGGAAACTGCATTCTAAAAAAAAAAAAAAAAAAAAAAATGCAAATACCACAATGCAAAAGTCAGCAACATCACGATTGTAAGTGTAAGAATCAGATCAAAGGTCCATCTAATCTAGCACATTGTCTGAAACTAGGTAAAGATGGATACTTGTGAAAGTAAGGAACACGGAAAGCACATAGTGATACCTCCCCCTAAATACCCTCCCTGTGTCTAACAGCTTGCAGCTCATGGACTTACTGAGCCAACTGTGTGGTTTCTGCAACTAACAGATCTTGATGTATTATTCATCTATGAATCTCTCTGTTTGCTTCTTGAAATCACACACATTTAGGGCCCAGAAGATCCTTGGCATAGAACTCCACAGGTTATTTGTTGCGAAAAAATTACTTTATTTCAATCTGTGAAATAAACTTGTACAAGCTGAGCAGTTTCAGCGCTACAGCTTTGATATTGCACAAGGCAGATGCTCCAAAACCAAAAGACTAACTGAATATTTGAGAATTGGAAAATAAAACATTGAGACTTACTTGCTTTTTAATAAATTTCCTCTAAGTTCTAGATTTTTTGATTCAGAGCTGAAGTTGCCGAATTCAGTGACAATATTGCAACACAGCATGTTATCAGAAAGGGTTATCTCCTTCTGGAGACGAAAAACCTGTGGGCAGCAGCAGGAAAGGTGCAGGCAAAGAGAAAGAACACAAAGAAGCATGCAAAAGGCACTGAAGTGCAAAAGGCACTAAAAAATGCCATGCCTCCAGCACCCTTCTCACACTCAAGCCTCTAAAATTTCCGGGGATGAATCTTCCCAGTTCTCTGTACCTGAAAGGAAGGACGAAAGAAAAGAGGCAGCTCTGGACAGAGTTGCTAAGTTCATAGATCTCTTGCTGGAGGCAGCACCCTGGCTACGGCCAGAGCTTGCTGACAGTGAGCCAGCCTGGCCATCCTCTCAGGGCTCCACCAGAAGCACCAGTCACTTCTACAGCTCCCATGGCTGGAGGGCAGAGGCAATGCTGGCCTGTGCAACTTGAAGTATCAGGGAAGTGGAGGAGATGAATGATTCTGTCAAATTTAGCCATACTGTTGCAGTTTGCTTTCTGTAAGGTTTAGAGTGAAAACAGGTTGTTCTCAGTATGTTTGTACTCCCTCAGAAGGACTCAAAATGCAATCTGTCATGGACACCAAATTTCCACTTTTTGTGTGAGTAGTTCTGTCACTTCAGGAAGAACCTTGCAAGAAAAGTTCCTACTCAGAAAACAATGTATAGCACCTGTAATACGAGTTCAGAAATAATTGACTATTGATGATCACAGCTAGAAATTGACAGATGAAAAAAATATCTCTGCATCAACTATATCAACACCTGTAATCAAAATGTTATTTAAAAAAATCTGGCCAGTAAAACCCCCTTGTGTCTGCGTTTCTGGCAGGTGCATAACTTGATAGCTGTCCTGATTTCAGCAGGGATAGAGTTGATTTCCTTCCTAGTAGCTGGTATAGTGCTGTGGCTTGGATTTAGGAATAGAACAAAGTTGATAACATACTGATGTTTTAGTTGTTGCTAGGTAGTGCTTACTCTAGTCAAGGACTTTTCAGCTTCCCATGCTCTACCGACTGAGAAGGCTGGAGGTGCAGAAGAAGCCGGGAGGGGGCACAGCCAGGACAGCTGACCCAAACTAGCCAAAGGGACATTCCATACCATGTGATGTCATGCTCAGTACATCAACTGGGGAAAGCTGGCCGGGGTGGCCACTGCTCGGGGACTGGCTAGGCATTGGTTGGTGGGTGGGGAGCAATTGCACTGTGCATCGCTTGCTTTGTATATTCTTTTATTATTACTACTACTACTATTATTGTATTTCAATTATTAAACTGTCTTTATCTCAACTTATGAGTTATCTCACTTTTACTCTTCTGATTCTCTCCCCCATCCCACCGGGTGGGGGGGAGAGTGAGTGAGCGGCTGTGTGGTGCTCAGTTGCTGGCTGAGGCTAAACCAAGACAATGGCATACTTAAAAACAGGTAACCTGTGACTTCTGTTCAAGTAAAACTTGGTGTTTTCTTAAATCTCAGTACACAAAGTGCAGAAGAAAAACCCACAACACAACTGTGATCTCTTGTTTTTTGTCCTTGTCCTTTGTTAAGAAATTTATTGATGTGACAAAAGCTGTATATAGGTTTACTCAAAGATAGCATTAAGTGCTTTCCCTCTGATAGATTACTGTCTTCTTGGGTACTCTTGGTGTTAGTAAGGGTTAGCAGTTTCCCATACTTGCTTCAACATTGACAGATAAGTGTTCTTTACTATCTCAGGTACTGTTCTCTTAATCATTTTCCCTCTCCCCAGTATGTACACACAAATATTTAGGGTGACCAATTGCTATGCTTACATATAACACTCCACAGCCACTGCTCTCATTTGACAAGGACAAAACAGCAATCTCACTCTTCGAATAAGGATCACACTCCTGGATGAGGAGCCATTTCCTTGCCAACAATCTAAGTACGTGAAGACATCTCAACCTTATTTGGTCAAAGTCCTCATAAATGCATAGGTAAAGAAGGATCCATTGGAAACAATATATTAACAACATTTGTGAAAAAATTATTATATACTAACATATTTCTTGAAAGATTTTCATCATCTTGTCCTGGAATTCTCCAAATCCTCCCTTCAGAGCTTTATATATGGTGTTTCTCTTGATGGTTTAGGAGGAGGAAACAGCACTATCCATGTTTTTCATGTCATCAGTGAAACAAAAAGTGTGGATAAAACCTACTCACTTTCAATAGTGAAAAGGACTTCTCCCTCCCCTCCTTAAATCTCCACAACCTTCACTGGATACAGAATGTTCCTCTGATCTGGTACTGTTTGAAAAGCTTTTTTAATTTTATAATGGATGCAGCCTTCAGTGCATGAGAGTTCCTAAGAAAGACCTTTTCAGAGATATAATAACAGTTTATAGTTTTTGATCTGAAGATTTTATTTCTGTCTGAAATCTGTTGCCAGGCACAGACCTTTCAGGTACACACTATAAGTCACAACAGTGGCCATCAGCACAACAGTATTCTAAAAAAACATTGTGTAGGAAGAGAGCTTTAAACTTTATCAGAAGTGAGGAAACATAAAAAGTAAGAGACTGAAGTAATTATTTTCACCTTACTTTTTCATGGCTGCTGCTGTTTTTGTGAAAAATGACGTTTGGTTTGGCACCTTTGAAATTCAGAATCTAAGCTTTAGAAGATTTCATAAAAATACCAATTTGTCCCTGGAGAAAATCAATAGAAGCCCCATTTCTTTCTAAAGAAAGCTGAGGTGCAGAGAGACACTGGAAGACTTCTGGGTCCCCCAAGCCGAGACCTATTTCAGGTCTCCCATTACAGCTTAGCTGGCTGCAACCATTCGCCTTCCAAATGCTCAGAAATTGGCAATCAAAATTTTCTGAGTCAGATTAACAGCTCCTGGCAAAACCAGACATCCAAAATGCCTCTGACTCAGCCCTGTGAGATGGCAGCATCAATCAGCTCTGAATACACAGAATGCAATTCATCATCTGTGAAACGTGAATGCTGCTTCATTCATGGAACGATGGGGGTTGGTGGAAGAGCTCTCCCTGACCCTACCAACTCTGGTTTCTCCTGAATAGGGAAGGGAGGGGCAGAAGTGAAAATGTTGCATTTATTGATCTGACAAAGCAGTTACTACATGGAAATTCAAATATACTGAAGTTACAAAACAAACTATTTGGAAGAACTTGAATTTCTGACATCAACAAGGACTGGGACAGAATCCCCATGGAAGCATTCATTTCCTTAGAGTAAAAGCTTCAACAGCAACAGTTAAATCATCAGTTTCATCTCAGCAACAATAGATCTGATTTCTCTTTCACCCATTCAGAACCAAAAAAACCCCATAAATCAAAGTAATTCCTGTTCTTTAGAGTTTCAAACTTATTTATTCTCCTACATGAAAAGTACCACCATTATCAAACTCCAAATAATTTCATCCCTTTCAAAGAATACGTGGTATTGAAATGATATTAAAGCAATAAAAAAAACTACTTAGAAGATGAACTGTGTCTAAACTATCAGTGAATATAAACCAACTGTAAGACAAATTATCATTTAACGAATTGAAAGAAATACATTATTTTTAATATTATAAACTGAAAGTTATAATAGCATTATTGCATTTAAAAATAGGTGTGCAATTTTCAGGAAATAAAATAATAAACATTCTGCAGAAGTTATGCTGTCTTCATGAAAAAGCCAAAAATACATGGAAAAACAAAGGGTAGATTCCTGGTCTGAGTTGAATGTACAACAAATCAGGGATGTTTCCAAAGAAAGGTGTTTCTAGAATTCACAAATATTATCTTACACATTTAAAAGAAAGCAGCCGATGTTCAGACAAAGCTACTGATGTAGTCAGTGTAAAACAAATGTTTCTCACACTAATTATAACAGCACAGTGGTTTTGTTGCTCAAATACCAGATGGCACCCATCATATGATAAGACACTGTGGCTCTAACTGATACTGAACTGCCTAAATTTGCTGCAACAAATACAGCATCATAATGAACATATATTATTCCTGCTTTCTTTTAAATTACATTTGGGACTTCATAAAGTGGATAGCTGTACTTTCACGAGATGAAGAATACCTTTGTAAAAGTGACAGGTATGCTAGCATCCAGCTGTATGTGATCTGCAAGTTCTGTAAACTGCTGCTGCTGTTTCTGTAATGTCTCTAGCAATCTTGTAATTTCCTGTTTGGCCAACACTACTCTGCAGTCATCCTAAACAGATGAAGAAAACAAAAGCATACCTTTCCTTTAGTAACTTACTTAAAATAACCAAACATAATGTAGATATGATGGCCGGAAATAAAGCATTTTAAATAGAACTACTCTAATTAAAAAACCTCATATTTACAAAATAGATTTATTTAAAATTGCAATACAAATGTGAAGGCCTTGTCATTCTTCCTAATACTAATAGATACTAAATAGTTCTGCTGTTTTAAAAAACTTTTTCTTTGACCTCTCTTAGTCCTGTAGGAATAAGAATATAAATTATAAGAGACAGTAATGTAATATATAAATAATATTTATATCATTCATATATCATTCCAGCAGCTGGAATAGAGCAGCTGCTTTGCAGCACGCAGCAACACACAACACAAAAAGATTAATATCCACCTATTAATGACGGGAACATTTGCAGAGTTAAAAGTACATCTGACTAAGCAACAAGACACTAGCTCTAAACAAATTTAAAAAAAAAGTAAAAAATAACACATTAATGAAGTAATTTCTCACACTCAGTTTACTGTTTGCTACATATACTATTAACTTCTTGCTATCACTAAATTAAGTGAATAATGGACCAACGAAATACTCTCATATAGCCACTTTCTTCACACAATTAATATGTTGAATTACCCATATTACAAGTGCTAATGAAAGGTTTTTAGGACTAAAACACTTTTTCCTACCAGCCTTGTATGACAACTATCTTCAAACACCTATACTGGTAATTGCAAATGTTAAATACTTCCCATAAAGCTTGTAGGTTTTTTGCTTCAGTTTCATCCCTCCTTCCCACTAACCTCACAAATAACCAGAAATTACTCCAGACAAGAGAATCATGCCACAGGATTTCCAGCAACTGGAGGACTTGATGCTTCTGTACTGATTATCCTTGTCTAACACCCCCTTGTAATGAATACCTCAATCTCGTATTATATCATTATTGTTTTAACATTGTAAAGGAAATAAAAATGCAGAGTACCATCTAACCTTTTCATTTGTAGCCTAAACTGAATTTGCAGTTCCACGTATCTTGCCATATGTTACAGCTCACTTGCCAACCTACCTGTTGTAAAGTCTTTTCACAATGAAGGCAAGCTGTTGAAACCTGTGACAAGAGGATGGTCATGTCTTCTTGCTGTTGCCTAAGCCAAATCAACTTCTCTCTCACGTGAGCATCAACAACACTAAGAGCCATTTCCTCCTGACGACAAAGGGTTTCATGAAGATCAGAAAAATAGGCTCGGACACATGAGCGAGCGTTCTCTGCAGTTCCTGGTACCTACAGTGTTGCAGTCAGGAGATCCAGAGGATTAAGGACACCAGTTGATTCCAGAAGTACATTTGTCATTTTATTCCAGTTTCTAACTTATGTTCACATCTGCTTGGCTACATCACAGTTCAAGTCCCAGTTATACAGAAAGTCTTATCAGCCCTAAGACCAAGATCCTCCAAGAAGTTACTCCAATAATGAGGTAGCTTATTTGTATGTATACACACCTTACTAAAAATGACCAGGGAAAAAAGCCTCAACAGTATCACAGCACCTGAGAACAGATGCAGTCTGTCACAGTACTTCAATACTGTACTAGCAATTATACAGCT